TATAGTATATTAAATTAAAGAGTGTGCCAATTAATGTTTTATTTTATAACTAAAATACTCATATAAATTTAGAAAATTAAGCCCCGGTCTAAATTAGTTTTAAGTTTTAGTTTTTAATTTTTAGTTTTTATATTTAGTAAATAGTACTCCCTCCATTACATTTTCTTTTAATTGTTCTAACCTAAAACCGCATAAATAATTTTTTTGGGTAAATATTGAATTAATCCGCAACCTTTATCATATGAAAAATGATGTGTGCACACCCGGGTGTTGACCCGGGTGTGCACACTCCCCATTGAAAAAAAAAAAACCCATCCTCACCGGGTCCACTCTTTTTTTTTTTTATATGGGGGTGCACACCCGGGTGTTGGATCCGGGTGTGCACCAATCAGGGTCCAATAAGTAATTATGAATAATTAAAATTAATGATAAATTCATTAATTTAATTTATAGTTTAATTTATAAATTAAAAGGTATTAAATGTAATTATAGTAGGTGGCCCATAGAGAGGGTAGTGATAGAGAGGTTAGTGGATGTGTGAATTTAGAAGTGTCATGGGGCTCATTTGAGAATGTAAGGATTGAGAAATCTATGTGGGGTTCATTCGAAGTTCTTTAGTGTGTATGGGTGAGCAAGAATTTAACATGGCATGATTTTTTTATCCATGTAAACATTGTGTCTTAATTGTATTATCACATCATTAAACTAAAGGTTTAAAGGTTTAATTGATGGTGAGACTAAAATTATGTAAATTTTAAAATTGAAGAATTAAAAAAATAAAAAAATAATTAAGAGGTAAAAATTATGCAAACTCACAATGTTGTTGGGAAACCAAAATTAACATTTGGTCTATTTTAGGTCATGCTTTTATCAAATGACAGACAAATTTCAATTAGCTATATAAAATCATTATCTAAAATTGTTTGCAGAACGAAGTACATATTTTTCTTAATAGAGTTTCATCCATCCATATGTAATGTTATAATTTTTATTTTTATTTTTTTGGGTATGATGGAATGTTCTGATTAATTTAATATTCCACTAGATATTGATGAGTGCAAAGAACCAAACAAGTATCCTTGCCTCGGAACTTGTTGGAATACCATCGGGTCCTACACTTGTGAAAACAAAACAAACAAAACAACCTGGCCTATCATTTTGGGTAAGCCCTTTATTCTACCGACATCTATTTATTTTTATTTCATTTCATTTTGATTTTTCTTTGAAATGGCAACTATTTTAACCAAACATTCATACCATTGTGAAACAGGACTTTACAAAGTTCTGTTTTTTTTTTTTTTTTCTCTTATATCTTATGATAAGATATGACTTATACAATAAGTAATCCTTTTTTTTTAATCTGTTCTCACCCATCTCAAAACTCGAACTTAAACTTCCAACTAATTTGAAGTATTAAGTTCTTAAAGTTTTGATATCTTTGGGGATCTCTTGATAAAGTCATCGTTTCTCTTTCCTTAATATTTGTAGGTATCAGTTTGGGGTTTACAGTAGTTTGTGTAGTTATTGGTGCATGGTGGTTGTCCAAAATATTAAAAAAGAGGAGGAAAGTGAAGCTCCGGAGCCAATTCTTCAAACAAAATGGAGGCTTATTATTGCAACAACAATTGTCTTCAACTGAGGGTAATGTTGAAAAGACCAAAATATTTAGTACCAAGGAGTTGGAAAGGGCAACTGATAACTTCAATAGGAATAGAATACTTGGTCAAGGAGGTCAAGGCACTGTTTATAAGGGAATGTTGGTTGATGGAAGAATTGTTGCTGTTAAGAAGTCCAAAGTACCAGATAAAGAGAAAGTTAAAGATTTCATCAATGAGGTAGTCATTCTTACACAAATTAATCACAGAAACATTGTTAAGTTATTAGGGTGTTGTTTGGAGACTGAAGTTCCTTTGCTAGTTTATGAATTCATCCCCAATGGGACACTTTTCCAGTACATACATGGTCAAAATGAGGAATTCTCATTATCTTGGGAAAGACGATTAACAATTGCATCAGAAGTTGCGTCTGCTCTTTCCTACTTACATTCAGCAACCTCCATTCCCATTTATCATCGAGATGTCAAGTCCTCAAATATTTTACTAGATGAAAAGTACAGGGTAAAAGTTTCAGACTTTGGGGCATCAAGATCAATTGCTATTGATCAAACTCATTTGACCACAAATGTTCAGGGCACATTTGGCTATCTAGACCCTGAATATTACCAGTCAGGTCAATTTACGGAAAAGAGTGATGTTTACAGCTTTGGAGTTGTCCTTGTTGAGCTCTTAACCGGAGAAAAACCAATTTTTTTAGAAAGGACAAAAGGTGGAAGAAGTTTAGCCTCTCATTTCATTCTTTCTATGGAAGATAATAGCCTCTTTAATATTCTTGATGCTCGAGTTAAAGATAGTTCTGCACATGAAGAAATTATGAAGGTTGCTAAACTTGCATATAGATGCTTAAGCTTGAGTGGTAAAAAGCGGCCAAGGATGATAGAAATTGCTGTGGAGTTGGAGCAGATTTGTTTTTTGCAAAACAGTTCAAATGATCAAAAAATTCATGAAGAGATTAGATATGTTGAGACTAAAGTAACCAATTACGGGGATTTTGCCTCAGGAGGTGCTTTGTCAATAGACATGGAACCACCATTTTCAAGCGAATCATGGGGATTGTTAGAAAAGCAATTGGGCTCAAATGTCGAATAATATAGGTAGAGATAGCCTATGTTCTGTATGGGTGTAGCTTCATGATTATTTGTCATAACATTATTATGATCAGTAAAAAAAAAAATAGAATTTAAAATAGTTTTAATATCACTAAATAAGTTTATAATTTTAGTTATTAGAGTTAAATTTTACTTTAAATAAATTATCAATTTTTTGTTTTAATTTTGGTTTTTAAGAATTTCAAAATTTTTGAAAATTAAAATCAGAAGTAAAAAAGAACTATCGAATTAAATGCGCCTGAGAAATTTACGAAATCAAGGCATAAATTCGATTCAAATTGATTGATTGATTGATTTTAATTGTATGAGTAAATTTTAGATTTTATGGGGAAAAAAAATTCTTAGATTAAATATTAGGTTAATAGAGTAGATTGTATTTTGATTTTAAAGCCTATATAAAGTTGGGAAAAGCTTTACACGAAACTTATTTGCATATATTTATTCACAATTTAAGGTTATATAGAATAATTGGTTATTTTTATTTTATTTAGAAATATATGAAAAATATAATTTTATTTATATATGAAAAATATAAAGGTCATAAATCTTATGTATTAATCTGAAATCTGAAATGTCACATACTGAAATTATTCAAAGTTTTAAACCCAAACGAGTTAGATCACGAGTGGGTCAGATCATTCAAAATGACCCAAACTCTTTTTTTATTCATTTTTTTATACAATTATTTAAAAATTAATTTTAAATTCTAATTTTTTAATCTTAAAAGTTGAAATAAATAAAATACCCAAACCTTAACCTCTCATCAATTTCACTCTCTCTCAACTTTTCCTTTTCTCCACTCTCCCTCTCCCCTTTTTCATCTCAAGCTCTCTAATCCTTCTCTTTGGTGGCACTCTCGTCAAAAATCAAATTAGATGATACATAGTGAGCTATGTCACATGACACCATCAAAAAGATTTTTTTTTTTTAAATAGAAAGTAAGAATACCTATTGAAAATCAAAATCCAGTGTTTGAGGTACCTTCATTACCATTAGAAGCACAAAGATATGAACATCAAGATTTGTTCTTAGTTAATAATTTGTTCATAATTAATAAAAATCAATCCTAATCCGATTTCTTCTTGTATTTGTTTAGACATATTTTTTATTTGCTTTTAGAACTTTAATATTGAATAGGGCTATTTTTTTGTATAATTCTTTTCAAAATGTTGAATAAAATTGTATTTTCTGTATAATACCATTCTAAATATTGAATATGTATTATATATTAATATATATGTTGGATTTATCTTTTGAACTCTAACCCTTTATATCTCTTCTTTTAATGAAGGTTAATGCTTTTATGAAATTATAAAATCTAAATATTGTATATGCATTATATATTTGACATATATTTTAATTTCACCTATGCAATCAGTAATCTTTCCCTTTTCTTTTTATGAGATTGGAATAAAAATTAAATCATGAAATGAAATTTAGAGTTTAATAGAGTTTTTTTAATTAAGTAGTTAATTAATATTAGACTTTCTTAAAGAAAATTAGAGAAAAATAAGAAAAAAATTTTATTTTAATTTTAATTTTTTAAAAAGTTGTATCCATCTAACCCAATCTGAAACCCATGTGAGTGGATAGGTTATGGGCTTAACCCTTTAATTTGAGACCTAAAATGATCCAATTTGAAACTCAATATCCGAAACGACCCAATCTGAACCCATTTAATCCGACTTGTTTGCCAAGTTTACACTCTATTTTGTGGGGTGTGGGTGCATATTTCAAGCTTGTGGGTTTTGACATAATATGTCTACATGTCACCCGTTCCACGTGAATGAATCCAGAACACAGTGGATGTACAAATGGCCAAGTGATGAAGAAATGTACAAATGCCCAAATGATGAGGAAGACCTATAGTTGTCTGATTGGGATTGAATTTCTTCCATTTGCCACCATTGATTCTCAAGACCCCAAATAGTAGAAAACCGGAATCCATAATGAGTTAGGAATCTTTCAGTTCCAAGCATCCACTTGAGAAAATACAAAGTCAGATACATACTAATCAATCTAACCTTCATTTTAGTATAAACAAAAATGTTCACTTAATCTTGAATTTAATTACCACATGAAGAAATTGCAAGAAAAGATTTCAAAAAGTAAATAAGAATCAACAGAAATTCCATTTTCTCATTAAGTAAATAATATCATACTACATTTGGTTTCAAAAACCAAATCTTGCCAAAGAAAAACAAAAAGCTTCTTTAAATAAACACATTTTGAGTGCTTAGCTCAACCCACCCAAGTTTCCGATTTTAAGATTTCAAACAAAAACCAAACTGGAGACTGACAACTTTTCCCTTAGCACCCTACCGTAGAAGACGAATGATGGAGAGAGTACGGCTGCCAATGCCAAAAGTTGGAATTAAGATTTTCGGGATGAACATTCTAGTGTCTTTCATCAAAAGAATAAGCCCTTATGAAATGGAATAGAAGGTGTTGATATCAAAACTTTTCTTGCTCATTTTGCTAATTCTCTATGATTTATTGTAGTAGTTTTCTTATTTTGTCATTGCTCTCTTGATTTGATATTCCTTACTTATATCTTAACTGCAACTGAAATCATGTTAATCTTAGAGTTTATAGTACTTGTTTTTTTTTTTTTTTACCAACATTCATATTGCTTGTTAAGTTTTTTTCTTTCTAATTCCTTTACCTTCTTTCTCAATGCTCTTATGCCTTGT